AACAACAACAACAACAAAATGATATAGAGTTTGAAAAATGGAACTTCATTCTTTCGCAAGATTTTTAACAGAGTAAATGATATCCATAATTTCGAGTACTTGGTACTGTGTTACAAATATATAAAACAAATATAATTATTGTTTAATTAAAACTAGATGTCACTTGTATATGTATGAAATAGACGTTCTCATACAATCTTCACATTTAACCAATCACAACTCACTTTAATCATTCAATTATTTTAATTTTTCAGCATTTCACTTTCTTCTTTACTTATATAATTTTGTTTTATAATCTTTAGAACTTCGGTATTGTTTTTAGAATAGGCTGCATTAGAGTTTTTCTAATTTTAAAATCTACAGTAATTTGTGCCAAGATTTTCACATCAATACCCCATATGTTTGCCAGATATGGAAGAATTTCCCAACTTTCCATTTTATAACTATAGTATACTTACCTTTGATAAAAGATCCTGAAAAACTGTTACTAAGCAACTGTTCATTTTACCTAAGTGTGTGTGTTTTTTCTCTCAAAAGGATTAGTATAATTATGTTTTGTTTTGGGAACAAATGAGAGCATTTATCACTTTTAGATAATTTCTTATAGTATTTGAGATTACCAGTTAAAAATTGACATTTGCTACTGTAAATGTATTGTAACGAATTTTTTGTAACATATTTATTTTGATATCAACGTTTGTTTGGATTAAATTTATATTTAGAAATATGCATAGCTTATACTGTTAAATGTGTATTGCGAAACTGTCGTCTATTCTCCAAAGTTGTAGAAGATTCTCGAGAGTAAGAATCAACAATATATGTATATAGTAAACGCTTAAATGTAGCTCAGTATTGTAAAACTGAAATTTCTACAACGCCTCCATACGGCTATAAATATAACCAACGTGACGCGCCGAAAGAGAGAGTCTCTATTATTAGTTCGCTATAGTCAGTGTGCTATAAACTTCGGAAGCTATAACTTTGATTGTTATAACGCTCATCAATCCGGAAACT